AAATGCATTTGATATTATATGTGTGTTAATAATTTTTCTAGTGTACGCAAAATTTGGGTGTTTTGATATAATACTTGACTCTGTTTCTAAAAATTGCTTTTCAATTCATTTGCATCATCCGAATCTTTCATAGTTTTAATCTATTCATAAAGTTTACAATGAACATCCCAAACAATAGGTCGTTTTTGTAGATCAGAATTCATGTATTGTTTAGCTAATTCGATATAGCAATCTGGAATTTTCGGTGCGAATTCAGGCCGCAATTCATTGCTAATTATATTAACTGCAAGATTTTCATCAAAGTGATAACCATCCAAAGGTCTTTGTTCTCCGACATAATGACACCAAAACAATAAATATCTACAGTTTTTGGCCTAATAAACCTCTGGAACGATATAAGGCATAACTTCATAAATGTTACCTTCTGAGTTATTTTCATTATACTTTTGGTCCGAGATGTAAGACTGCATATTTTTATTAATGCCTTCATCTTGCAAAATATTATCACAATGAAAGTCTGCATCATTTGAAATGTCTTCAAGTAAATGGAAGACAGTGATAAAAACGTTAAGTGATTTTATAACGTTGATAATTCAAAAATGATATGTTCGTTTTCAATAATCAAGTGTTTAAAATGAGAGCACAGAAATGTACCAATCGTTTAGCCAACAATCATCAAAAATAAATTATTCATTCTTGTGATATCAATTTTTGCCAAAAAATGTGTTATCAAATAATGCAGATGTATCAAAAATAGCTGTTTAATTTGAAGCTTAACTGATTTCTGTGATTCATAGCATCTGTTTAAGTACAAATTCATAAAAATAAATGAGCCATTCTTGAAATATTGGATTTAATATCAGTTCTTATTAGGGAGCTAACATTTAAGAGCTCAATATAGCCCCTGGGGATTGTCAATTGATTATTCCCAACACCATCAGGGCCGGTTATTTGGCAATCCCCAGGAAGCTCTTAAATGTCAGCTCCCTTATTAATTATGAATTACTATTGACAATTGGGCATCGTACAACAATGATTTTTCGAGGGTGGTTGATATGTTTTGATGAATTCTATCTCTATCAATATGGTTATGGCTGAAATGATTTTCACTTTATTTTATTTATTCATTTAATAAAGAATTTTCCATAACTATAATTGTAACCGTATTTTGCGGAATAAAGCACCCCTCGTGCAAAATATTGTAAATCATCTTTTTGAATGCTTGTTGTATACTAATGTGACGTGTATTAATTGTGGTATTTAATTTTTTTTGTGTAAAAAAAAATTGCATCACGTAAGTGCTTTATTCCGCAAAATATGGATTATAATTTTCATAACAATATAACCTATATATTTTGTCCCGATAGTTACGCAAAACATTTCTACTGAAAAATATATATAGTATTTGTGTTCAAAATATTACCTGCCAGACATTTAGAATAATCTTTCATTGAAATGGGTAATACTTATCAAAAATGCAATACTAGACATTGTTATCAAAATATAATTGAGGACGATGATCATAAAGCATCAATCAACTCTCAAGAATCAGTTGATATGTCTCTTATTGCTCAAATGGCTTCTGATATGAAAGATTCAAATGGAATGTTTATAGCTGGTGGTTGCTACAAATATAGAATTGGTATTGAAAAGGATGAATATAAGGCATTCATTTATTTTCAAAAATCTGCTGATATGGACAATGCTAATGGAATGTTTGCACTTGATGAATGTTATCGAAGTGGAATTGGAGTTGAAAAGGACGAACATAAGGCATTTATTCATTATCAAATTCTGCAGAAATGGGGAACGCTAGTGGAACATATAATGTTGGATATTGTTATCGACATAGATTTGGAGTTGAAAAGATGAACGTCATGCATTCATTATTACCAAAAAGCAGCAGATATGGGGAATGCTAGTGGAATAGTTGCACTTGGTATCTGGTATAAAGGTGGAATTGGATTTGGAAAGGACAAACATAAGGCATTCATTTATTATCAAAAATCTGCTGATATGGGGATTCTGGTGGAATATTTGCACTTGGTAAATGTTATAAAGATGGAATTGGAGTTGAAAAGGATGAACATAAGGCATTCATTTATTATCAAAAATCTGCTAATATGGACAATGCAAATGGAATGCATGGACTTGGATATTGTTATGTTAATGGAATCGAAGTTGAAGAGGATGAACATAATGCATTCATTTATTTTCAAAAATCAGCAGAGATGGGTAATGTTTTGGCAATCAAGATTGCTGGATATTGTTATCGACATGGAATTGGCGTAACGAGAGACTTAAAAAAAGCTAATGAATGGTACCAGATGTAAGTTATTTTTACTGTCATGATAAAATTATATACTTTCTTTTTAATAAATGCAACATGAATTACTAGAGAACGGAAACAAATATCAAGTAATTAATTATTATTATTGATTATAGTTATTTATTCAACTATAACAATAATAACTTCATTTTCGTTAGTAATAAACAGGCGAATATATGAAAATTTAGACATTGATGATAATTTAAAAAGGATACTAACTGAAAACGAATATCCATTATCTTGGATTCCTTATAATGAATTTGAAAATATACAAAAAATAGGGCAAGGTGGATTCGCGACAGTGTATTATGCATATTGGAAAAATCGAAACGGAAACACATTCCTGTTGCTCTTAAAGTGCAATCAAAAGTGAATTATAAAGAATTTGTAAAAGAGGTAAATTAAGTTATGTGTAGACATGTTTGACAATTAACAATTTATATTTTAACAAATTATTTTTAAACTTAAAGTTAAAAGATATTGTGATATTTGCACTAAAAATCCAACATTTTTAAGGTGTTATGGAATATCAAAAGATAATATTTCTTAGGATTATGTTCTTGTTATGGAAGTGGCAGAAAACAGATCTTTAAGTAGCAATATTGTCTCTGTAGCACAACAGAATGGAAAGATAAATTAATTTTGTTGCATTGTATTACTTCTGATCTTCAAATAATTCATTCCCAACGAAGGCTCAAGGATAGAAATTGATGTGGTTTGTGGAATTTACCATATATAGCACCAGAAACTACTTATCCGGAGGTTAAATATAGAAAACTGTGTACTAAAGCATCTGATATTTATTCATTTGGCATAATTATGTAGGAAATTTTATAAGGAATACCGGTATATGGCTCACATTTACAAGAAAAAATAATATTCGATAAATTAAGACCACCAATTTTTGAAGATACAGAAACGTGTTATGTTAATTTAATGAAACAGTGTTGGAATGAAGAGTCGGAAAGACATCCATCTGTAGACGAAGTCGTAGAAACGTTTACAAAATGGCAAAATACAAATCTTATTAGAATTATCCAAGTCCAGTGAAAGATTTATAAAATTAAAGAGTCCAATAACAAATGAAGAGATTATTTATTCAGATGAAACTTATTCAGATAAAATTTACTCTGATTTTATAAGCGGATTAATTACGTTTAAATCTTTTACAAAGGATTCTTTATAATTTTATCGTTTTTGTATTTCAAATTCATTTATGTAACTGAAATATCGGGCTCAAATTTTTTTTAGAAGTCAAAATGCAATTGGCATAGTAAAATATTGAGTTGTTTTGTGGATTTTATTTTTTCGAATTTTTAAATTACACATGACCTTATGATTTTATTGGCTACAATCAAAATTTCCTTGCAAAATTTTGCATTACCTGAACCTAACCTAATTAAAGATGCCAGTAAAATAAAAAGTTTTGCCATCAAATCTCAAATAATTCCCTAAAATTAATTGTCACATTGCCAATAATCAGTAATTATGGTTGCTAACGATCTATGCGACAATTAATTTTCGGGAATCTGATTTTCGAGATTTTGTGTAAAATCGAAATGAAATAAAGCTAAAGTAATGATTATTTCACAACTGTTCGTGAAATTGGTGTTAAATTAACTGCATTACAACACACTGGTAATGAGTAATAATTTTTAAAAAGATTAATGATTGATAAATTTTTTAATTAATATAAAGTATCATATTATGAAAAAAGGTATGTAAAGTTTTGCCGTGTCGCCACGTGTAAAAAGATTATGGACTTGGAGTTACGAAGAATCTTTAGTTTCTTTTACGTTATATCTAATGTTATATCTAATGCTATATCTAATTATTAAGTAAACTAGCATTCTTGTAAAATAATTCGTAGAGTTACTAAAAATATAGATGAATCGTCTTAATGGATTTTATGACATACGGCTACGACAAAAATCACATGAACCCATTGCTTCATAATAGTGTATTATGCGTAACTAATTAATTGATGTCATAGATATGACAAAAAATTTAAAAAAGTGACATGGGATTTTAAGAAATCATTTGTTATAGAAATGGATGACTTTATATAAATTCCTTTTGCTAAGAATTTCTAACAATTTATTTTACAAATTCAGTAAACCAACTTATAATAGTAAAAAATCTTATACGTACTAATTACAATGTAATACATCAGCTGCATCTCAAAGCTACATTATATGTTACATTTGTAAGTTTCAATTTAAAATTTACTAATTACATGTTGGCCAATCAAAAATTTTTAACGTTACTGTGTCGTCAAGAAATAAGGCCATTTATTTCGAAACATGTAAAGAAAGCCAAGTTTTAAATTTTAAATTCTTGGTTTTCTTTAATTGTATCTCAAACACCCTAGGGTGCTGTTTCGTAACGAAACTAAGGATGTGATGCTAAGAATGCTGGTGAAATTAAACCAGAGTATAAATTGTAGAATACTTTGAAGTTCGGTATTAAAAAAATAATGGTACACAAACTTTTGTATTATCTGCAATAAAATTTTCGATTCATATTATAAAATTTTGTAATTTGAGTGTTTATAAGATATTACATTACTGTAAACTACTTTTAATGCAAAATAAATAATAACAATCAGAGGTTGTTTTAGATAAAAGTTTCAACTTTCACGTGAGCAAGTATATATAACAATAATAAAGGAATAGTCCTTTTATTTTTAGCCAATCGGAATTGGTTTTTTTACGCGATTAATCATGTGAGCGTTTTTTGTTACAAATATATTCGTTTATAACACACATCATGTTAATCATGTGAGCATGATGCGCGTGTTTTTGGTTACACTAAATACAAATATATAGACGCGATTGTTGATTGTTTTGATGATCAATCATGGGATTAATCAATTAAATTTTTTATATAAGTTAGGATTTTTTCTTTTTTTAGCGTTAAGCTTTTTTGAATTTTTTTTGCTTAAGGTCTACTGTTTCTGAAAAAGGTTACAGTTATGAACCTTTCTTAAGCATCAAAAAAGCTAAGCGACGGCGGCGTCGTGAGTTGGAACACCTTTATAAAGTTGAAACACCTTTATAGAGTTGGAACGCCCTTATAAAGTTGGAACGCCCTTATAGAGTCGGAACACCTTTAATAAAAAAAAACTAACGTTTAATAAAATTTTTAGTTTATTTAAGTTCTTATTCTCGACATATGAAGAATAAAGTTATAGGAAGATAAGTAAGTTTTTATTAATTTGTTAAAAATTTATTTAAAGGACGTAACTTGGTTAAGGTTGGTTACGACATTTATGTGCGAGGTAGGGGCACATAATTATACTAACCTATTATTTTTTTTAATTATAATATTTTAGATATTGACGAACTTGGTATAACTACTACGATTAATTATAAGAAAAATATAATTGATATTAATTTATATAATACTTGTTTTAATGATTATTTGAATTAAAAAATTATGTATTATTATTAAATGTTTGTGTATAACAATTTGACTTATCAATCAAAATAAATTATATGCTTATTCAATTTCTTATATTCATGTTTATTTAGTAGTTAAATCAATAAATTATTAGAATTTCATTTATATTTTTTTTATCAATTGGTTCGATTTAATGTTAGAGGTAATTAGAGATATAGACATATTGACGTAATAAGGTCGTAACTAATTACCTTAACTGTAAATATGTTTTTAAAATTAATACGACGATATGTTTGCATTTATAGTTAGTGTTAACAAGACTACTGTTTTCAAAATCAATTAATCATATGTTCAAATCAAATTTGTC